GAGGCGGAGGAGGCGGAGGAGGAGTAATCATAATAATAGCAGTACTAATGAGGAGGAGAAGAATAATACTACGAGTAGTAAGAAACCCATACTAATAAGACTACGGATAATACTTACATATTACGAAGAATACGAACAATACTAATAATACTAATAAGAACAATTCGACTCATACTAATACGATGAATGACGACGGCTCGCAATATTAGAAAGAGCGTGTTCTACCGCTGCTGGCGGAAACCGGGGGGGGTCACTACCGGTTCGAACCCCTCCCCCCCCCCCCAGTTCATCATGAAAAGGGGGGGGGGTCACTACCGGTTCGAACCCCCCCCCCTCGAAAACCGAGTGGGGGGGGACAGTGGTGAGGGGACAGCGGGACAGTGGTGGGGACAGTGGAATAGTGGGACAGTGGTGGGGACGGTAGTGGTGGGGACAGTGGTGGGGACAATGGTGGGCACAGGGGGGACAGTGGACAGTGGTGGGGACGGTGGTGGTGGGGACAGTGGTGTGGGGACAGTGGGAATGAGGTGGAAACAGTGGGACAGTGGAGGGTACAATGGTGGTGGGGACAGTGGTAAAGGCGGTGGCGAGGACGGCGGTGGGACAGAGGTACAGTGGCGGGGACAGAGGTACAGTGGGGACAGTGGTGGGGACAGTGGGGACAGTGGTGGGAACAGTTGGATTTTCAGTGGGACAGCGGAGGAGTCAGTGGGACAGTGGGGACAGTGGGGATAGGCAGTGGTTGGGTCCGTGGAGACAGTGGGGAGAGTGGAACCGTGGTGGGAACAGTGGTGGGAACAGTGGGGACAGTGCGACAGTGGTGGGGGCACTGGTGGGGACAATAGGGACGGTAGTGGAACCAGTGGGGACAGTGGTGGTGAGGACAGTGGTGCTGGGAACAACAGTGGGGGATGTGATGCGAGCGGTGGTAGGGACCGGGAGTCGTTTGCTGGCGGTGCGTGGGGGGGGGGTCGAACCGGTAGTGACCCCCCTCCGGTTTTCGAGGGGGGGGGGGGTTCCAACCGGTAGTGACCCCCCCCCATTTTTCCGGATCCGGAGGGGGGGGGGGGAGGGGTTCGAACCGGTAGTGGCCCCCCCCCGGTTTTCGAGGGGGAGGGGGGGGGGAGGGGTTAGGGGAGGGGGGGGTTTGCCGGGGGGGAAGGGGGGGAAGGGGGTCCAGCAGGGGGGGGGGGGATTTTCGGAGGGGGGGGCGGGGAGACCCCCGGGCTCCTTGTAGTCTAGAACTCCTCCTCCTCCTCCTCCTCCTCCTCCTCCTCCTCCTCCTCCTCCTCCTCCTCCTCCTCCTCCCGCCTTGGAAGTTCAGCAGCACGCCGAGTTCTTTGGGCGCAGAGCGGTGCCTGAGGTTGTTGAGCAGTGGAAGAATACGGTCGTCGACATGCACAACGTCTCGGAGCAGCTGATGCCCTCTTTCTTCGAGAAGACCAGGCACTGGGCAGATTTGCCAACCTCCAGGGCAATGCTGGCTTCGAGGTCGTCTTTCATGAAGTGGGTGCAGGGGATGTGGGGCACCAAGCCTGGTGCAGTTCATCGCCATGTCAAGCAACCGCAGGCACTGGAGTGGGAAACTATGGATTCTGCGGGCAATATGACTACTGACAGGCATCTGTTGCTGCAGACTTCGGCTACTGAATGGAATGCTATGTGGCGGGATCCTGTCGACAGCCCCGCTGATATCAAGTATATGATGGGTCGGTGTTTGCAAGTGGCCAAGGACGACCCGTTGCCCCCCCATGTCGCTGCAGGATGTCGATGCTGTGTTGCCTGTGCTCCCTGCTAAGAAAGCGAGGGGGGTCGACGTGCTCAGTCTAATTTATGCGCAACGACAGCCAGTTGAGGCCAGACAGCAACTCGCTGATATCTTGAACGCGATCGAGTGCTGCGGCGCATGGCCGAGTTCAGTGTCCACCACGGTGCTGGGCGCAGCGATTCCCGAGGAGGCGGGTGGCAACCGCGTGCTTGGTCTGGTTCCGACCCCCCACAAGCTCTGGTCTAAGATCCGTACCGGAGCTTTGGGCAAGTGGTCTGCCGAACAGTCTGCCTTCTGGGATACGGCTATCGCGGGATCCTCGGCGTTGAGAGTTGCGCTTATCAGGGCTGTTATGGATGAAGGTGCGCAGGCTTTGTCGTTCGAACACGCTTCCCTGTTCTTAGATTTGATTAAGCTTTATGATTCGATTGTTGATGTGCTCTTGATGCAGGCTGGGCTGAGGATTGGTTTTCTTGATATTATATTGCTGCTGGAAGTGGGTATGTACGCTTCCCCTCGGTTGCTGAAGGAGGGCCAGATGATTTCTGAGGAGCTATGCATCACTCGCCCCATCGTGGCTGGGTCGGGGCATGGCGTTCCTGTTGCCAAAATAATGTTGCACCAGCCGCTGGACGAGGCACACCGAGCTTGTCCTCCTGTCGGCCTCTGGTCTTGCATCGATGATCTTGTGGGCAGGAGCGAAGGCTCCAGTCGCAGTGTTATTGAGCACATGGCTGATTTTGCAGGAGTTATGGCGCGCGGGTTGAAGGCGCCGAGGCTGAAGATTTCCGACAAGACTAAGCTGGTTGCCAGTTCGGATGAGATTGGCTACGTATTTCAGCGGCGCCTCCGCCCGAAAAGGTACTCCTGCGCAGAATGTTCGTGCCACAGTTGGTTTGGGGATGCAGCTGCGGCAAGGAAGCGGGCCTCCTCCAGGATTCAGAAGCGACGCGCTCAAGCTCGCGGGACGCAGCGCAAGGCGATGCGCCTGCGGCGGCTGCCGAAGAGCAAACTCATCGCCAAGAAGTTGTTCAGCGCTGGTGTCCTACTTGCTTCCGTTTTTGGGCGCCAGATTATGGGGGCGCCTCCTACTTCGGTCCTGGCACTTCGGCGCGGCGCAGCCGCCAGTGTCGCAGGTGTGAGGAGGGGCAGGTGTTGTCTTGGTTTGTTTTGGCAATGCTGAATCTGGCATCGAGTTGCAAAAGCAGGTGCTCAAAGAGTGGTTCTCCTCGCGGTTAGCTCAACCTGGCTTGCGCCCCAGGATTCGCCGCGCATGGCCGAAGATACGGGATAAGCTTCGACGGCGTGCAGTTGGGCGCGATGCCACTGCGAGGTGGACAGATGTACGCGGGCCGACCGCAGCTCTGCAAGCCACCTTATTTCAAGCTGGTTGGGATCCTAAGAGTGCCGACGTCTGGTCGAGGCCGTTATCGGACGGTGCCATCGACGACTGGATCTCCCCTACTCCTGGTGACGAAATGTTTGCTACTGCTGCGCCTGCCCATTTTGATGAGATGATTGGAGCTGTCTTTGATGATGTGGTGAAGTCGCAGTGGAAGCAGGCCTCCAAGCACGTTGCCGGTGACGATCTGGAGCAGGGTGCGGACCTGCTCACAGTGCAGATCGAGCTGAATCGGATGGTCAAGAAGTCGAAGTACGTTGAGTGGGCCTCCAACCTGGTCGCCGTCGCGGGGGGCCAGTGGACTCGGGATAGGCAGATCGCCGCAGGTTATGCCTGCCCGCCGCTGTGCCCCCGGTGCAAGGCCCCGCCTGAGACTTTAGCTGATAGAATCTGGTTGTGCCCAGCCAACTGCGGGCACGAAGATTTTGAGAAGACCGATGATCTTGTTCCCCAAGCTTTAGCCTCATGGGAAGCCCAGCCAGCCTTGTGGCTCAGAGGAGCCCCCTCGAAGGACCCCACGGTGCTTAGGCTTGTTGAGTCTGAGGAGGGCGCCCAAGTGGTCCTTCCTAGGGATGGTGGGATTTGGGATTTCTGTTCTGCCGACCCCATCGGCCCCTCTGTTTATCTTCGGAGATGGGTCTGGAGGCGAATTCAGTGCGGACCCCCGTAGGAGAAGGTGCGGCTCGGCAGCGGCTGTGGTGTACCAGGATCCCTCGTCGCCATATCTCCGGGCCCCACGGTGCGGTGTAGGGCAGATTTTGATAGGTGGGAAGCAGGCGGTCCCTAGAGCGGAGCTGCAGGCTTTCTTGTTCGCCTTGGAACATTCGTTCGGCTGCATATGTTATGTCACGGACTGCAAGAGTTTGTTTTCGGATTGGCATGCTGGCCGTGCTGCCAGGCCCTCGGGGCCTAAACGGTGACCTGTGGGCCCGCATTGCGCTCGCCCTGGGCCCCCGAGGCCCTGGGTGTGTTTCTGTGCTCTGGGCGCCCTCCCACTCGGAGGATAATCTGCAGTCTGTGACCTCTCGGTGCGAATTGTTTCTGAGCCAGGCCAATGCCGGCGCCGACGTGCACGCGGGGGTCGTGGCCCAGTGGGCTTTTGAGTGGTGCGTCGCCCCCCCCCCCCCTCGCACTGACTTGTGGGATGCGACGGCGGCGCTGGTTAGACGGCGGGCTCGGCGGGCACTTCTGGCGCCCTTCGAGGTTGAACCTTGGGGGGGGAATTCGTCCGCCGCCCCGGCCGGAAGCCCGCCGGCTCAAGGTATTCGACCAGGTTATTGCGGCCAGCGCCCACGCGTTCCGTCCTTTCGCGGGCCGCTGGCGCTGTGATCGATGCCGTGCGATTGTCCCGAGGAGCCAAGTTCCCACCGTCGCCTCGACCCCGTGCAGTGCCCCTCCCCCGTCGCAGCCGCTGGATTCGGTCCTCGACGCTGGGCTGGAGCCTGAGTATGGGGAGTGTTTCGAGGCGATCTCGGGGGATTTTCGGTTGGCTCGGCGCGCTTGCATCGCAGCCACCGCCTGGCCAGAATGAAAAGCTTCGGGTTGATTTTCTGCCATCGCTGTGGGCTCACAGCGACCGCCGACGGCAGGTGGCTCAGAGAGGAGCGTGCCCCCCCTACTCGGAAAGGGGGGAGAATCTGCGACGAATTCGACGTGGCGTTTTCCCCTCGTATCGCGGCCCGCCAGTGGCCATGCGTGGGGCGGCTGCCCTTGCCGCCGCGGGGCGTGCCCTCCCGCCCGCGCCGCAGGAAGGAACTGCGGGCCAGGTGGGCGCATGCGTCGAGGGCCGCCCCCTCGAATTTGATGAGTACGAGGCGCGCTCGTCGCCTCGGCCCGCCAACGCCGTGGTGTCGGAGATGGCGATTGCGGAGGTCCACCGCGAAGCGGCCGCCGCCTTTGCCGCCGCTGCCGCGCGGGCGAGAGGTCGTCGAGGCAGCGATGGTGGTGCGCATCTGGGTCCTGGACTCCCCGGACTCCCCGGACTCCCCGGACTCCCCGGACTCCCCAGACTCCCCGGACTCCCCGGACTCCCCGGACTCCCCGGACTCCCCGGGCTCCCCGCTCCCGGACTCCCCGGGCCCCCCGGACTCCCCGGACTCCCCGGACTCCCCGGGCTCCCCGCGCCCCCCGGACTCACCGGACTCCCCAGACTCCCCGGACTCCAGGACTCCCCGGACTCCCCGGGCTCCCCGGACTGCCCGGGCCTCCCGAGGGCTCACGACGGCCGCCGACGGCCTCCGCTCAGCCGATGTCTCGGCGCACGGAGGGTCAGCGCGAACGATGAGGAGGAGGAGGGGGGAGGAGGAGGAGGAGGAGGAGGAGGAGGAGGAGGAGGAGGAGGAGGAGGAGGAGGCGGGGCGAGGAGGAGGAGCAGAGGAGGATGGAGGGGGAGGGGAACGGGGGCGAGGAGGAGGAGGAGGAGGAGGAGGAGGAGGAGGAGGAGGAGGAGGAGGAGGGGGGGTAGGAGAAGGCGAAGGCGGAGGAGGAGCAGGAGGCGGCGGAGGAGGAGGATCTATAAAGATATCTCCTGGGCGCTTCTTGGCTGCCTGTCTGGGCGACTTCGGGGTCAGCAGGCGGCCCCAAGTGCCGTTTGGGCCGTCGCCATCTTGAGGCTTCGGAAGGCTATCGAAATCGAACAAGCTGAATGGCGAACGCATTTGTTTCCCTGATGTTGTTGAGTGAGTTTGGTTTAAATGGGTGCGCCCTGGGGAGGCCCTGGAGCCACTTGGGGCATGTTGGGGGCCATCAGCGTCCATCTTGGAGTATGTTGGGCCAACTTGGAGGTCATCTTGGACTCTCTGAGGCCCTCTTGGACCATCTAGGGCCATCTTGGACGCTCTAGCGACCCGCGACCTCCCCCCGCCCCCGCCCTGGTCCAGGGGAGGGGGGTAGGGGGGTAAACCTCCCCCCGAATGGGGAGGGGCTGGTGGGATTGCCTACCGTTGTCTTCCAAGGTTGGAACGCGCGGCACATGGGTGCATCGGGCTCTGCACGTGGCCTCGAATACTGCGATTACGCGCTACAGCAGCGGTCCGATGCACAGCGGTTTCTCTGGCGGACAAACTCGAATTCTGATTTTCGCACAATCTCAATATAGTTTGGGAGGTTGTCTTGGTGCGGGTCGGGCCCCTCGGGCGCGGGTCGACAGTTTGCGGTTGTCCGCAGATGCGCTGACCAGCACTGAGATTTCGCGGTTGGCCGTTGCGCCCATGCGCTGCGAAGGCTTATGCAAAGTAGCAGGCCCATCGGGGGCCTCTTGGGGGATCTCCGAGGCCCCTCACCCCCCATTCCATTACTTGTGCTGCTCATCCCCCTCCTTGTCTCGCATTCTTCTTCCTCACCATTGATGGTTCCCCCTCCTCCCTCTGCCCCCATCTCTTTTCCCGCCTCTTCCCTGTCCGAAGCGGTGGCTCAAGATGAAGCGCCTTCGGTGCGAGGGCTTTGCAGGTTGTCCTGGGTGCGCTACCTGCCGCGCCGAGGACGGGCTTCCCGCGCGCGCAGATCACGGCGGGGTGGCGAACCGGGGCCGATGGGATCACCAGGCTGCGGCTTCCTCAGCGCCAGGGCCTCCGCCCCCCGCGCCTGCGCCAGCGCGCGATGAAGCCGCGTCGGACTCGGACTGCTCCGATGTCGACAGCGAGCAAGACCAGGGGCATGATGAGAACATCCGAGAGCCTACGTCATGGACGGGCATCTCTTACCAAGGAGATGACAGTTACAAGTATTTGCGGGGACCGTATCTGATGTCAGAGGACCTCAGCAACGCTTCTGACCATATCGCTGTCCGCATGGGCTTCTCCAACAAGCCTTTAGTCCGCGCGTTCTTCTACTTTTACTGCCTCCTAGTTGTGGCCCAGCTGGGTGCGCTGGTTCCGCGGGCAAGCCGGGGGGCGCGTGGAGTCGGGGCTCGAGCGCGCTCTGCTGCTGCGTCGATCTATCGTGTCTCACGCGCCCCTGTTGGGCAAGCAGCCTCGCCTTGACGCGTCGCTCAGGTCTCGCGCGTGTTTTGCGGTCAGCGTCTATCGACGCGTTCCCGCTCGGCGCCCACCATTGATGCTCGCTTGGCTGCGCGGCTGGCGTGTGATTGCATGCTTCGATGCACAGGGGCCACCAAGTTCATCGGCGACGCGGCGTTGCGGGATCCCAGCGCTGCACATCGGCATCTGTGCGACGGTGTCACGCTGGAGACGAGCGAAGCGGCTGCTCAGTTTCTCCGCGCATCTGTCCTCCGCAACTGCATTTGATGTGATCGGTCACTGAGTGGTTCGACGGGCACGACGGCCGGCGGCGCACATGCCCGCGCAGCGTCGGGTGCCGGTTGTGTGCGTTTTCCGCATCTTCGACCGCCTGCTGCATGCTCTGCCGAGATGGACATCTTCCTGCTTGGTGATAGCGGGCCGGCCGAGCAGTTTAATCCGAGTTCTGAGGCAGATTCTGCTGGGGGAGGACGACCCTGGCCTAGTGAAACAGGCCTTCGCCGCGACCGAAACGCTCATGCTGAGCTTGCTGGCGCTGGCCCTTCTTGGACGCCCTACCGTCCACCGGCGCTACCGTTTGCGGTAATGGTTCAGTGTTACCCCCTGAAATTCATGCTCTCCGGCATCTCCCTGCTGGTTGGGTGCGCCGTATGCAGCCGTGCGCGCAGGCCATCCGATGTGGGCGACGGGGCGCAGCCCGCCTGTGAGACGCCGCTGCCCCCAGAGCACGCTTCTCTTCCGGGTCCGGCGCGAGTGCATCTTCGCTGGGCCAGCCCCCAGGGCGCCCCTGACTGCAGCCCAGGGCATGCCCGACGGCTTCCCGCGTGCAGCGGGGACAGCGTTGCCGAAGCTCCGGCAGCTCAACGAGTGCATCAACGAATGTTCGGCAGCTCCTTCTGCTTGTATCCCACGTGCCGACGGCGAACCGCTCTGGGAATGTTCGGCCCCGCTTCGAAAATTCTCGGTGGCCTCCGGGGCCGCCTAGGGCCATCCTGGCGCCATCTTGGGCCGCCCTGGGCACATCTCGGGGCCATCGCGGCCGCCCCAGAAACCGTCTTGGCCATTTCGGAGGCTCTCGCGAGGCCGCATGGACCTGGAAAGACCGACGACCTGGGAAGTGCACAGGCATCTGCTGGTTGGAGACGCCGACGGAGTTCACATGTTGGACCGCTCGCCCGGGAGTGGCCAGCGGCATGGGCCGAGCCCGCTGGGGGATCCTCTAGACAACCGAAACACTTGGAAGCCCAGCGCGCCGTGCATTTCCGCGGCAAGAACACAGGGTTCGGCGGATCGAGTGGCCTTCGGTCAAACCCGCCGCCGCCCCAGGGGCGAATCATTTAAGCGGCGCTCTGTGCTTTGCTGTTGAACTTTCAAGGCCAGATGGCGGGGCGGCGCTCCACGGGGGAGCGCCATGGAGCTCCTAGGATTTTAGCCCCTTCGCAATGCAATGGCTCTTTTGGGCTCACGGACGAGAATTGCAAGGGTCTTGGGAACGCAACAATTTGCGCCTCTGGGCGCGGTGGCGGATATCCCCCAGCGTTTGCCCTGCACGCGGCGCTTGCTCCTGACGTACGTGCGGTCCAAAGATAAGGCGCCGCCAGATGCGCTCGCGAATTGCGAATGGAGGTCGAGGTGCCGCGTGCTTGCGGAGGCCGCGGTGGCAGCTGAGTCCGCGCTGATGACCGACATGTTCGGTTGGCTAGCGCGCTGCGGCTTGTCTGGCGAGCGCGAGTCGCACGTGCCTGGCGCGCGCGGCACCGATGGCGACGACCTCGCCCGGACCAACCACGGGACCTTGTTGGACTTAGACGAGGCGTACAAGATGCTTCGGATGCCGGGGATGATCGCGGACACTGGCAGCAAGGAGGATTCTCTAGAAGTCACGGACCTGGCGCCCGATTCCAATCGCCTGGTCCAGACAGGAGTCGTCGCCTACACAACGAAGACGGCTGGGTCATTCTGCCAAGAAGCAGGAGCAAGTGCATGCCTCGGCGTCGCGGGGGGCGCCCACCCATCGATCGCCGCCCCCATAGGGCGGGGGGGCCTCGGCAGTCGCCGCGCGGCTGTGCGGGGGCGTTGGATAATCCAGTTCGACACCGCGCGCCACTTCCTGGGGACTCCGTCGTGCCCTTGGGTCGCGGCCCGAACTCACGTCGACGACGGCGGGGCAGCTCGGCCCCCCCCCGGGCGCGGACATCCCGGAGATCGCCGCGAACATGCGCCCGCGTGCCAGGGATGTGCCTCATTCGGGCGCCGTTGCCCACGAGTCCCAGAGCGGCGCCGAGTACTTGCCTCATGTTGAAGGCCTCGGTGTTTGCAGAAGCGCCCCAGGGAAATCTGTTTCCCGCGATTCCAATGTGGTTTCCCGTTCCTTTTAAAAGCTGTACACAGGCCACAGTGCGGGAACGTGGGGCCCCGCGGCCTCCAATGGGGCCAGGGGCGCGTGAGCCCGCGAGCGCTTCGGCCAATTCCGGGGAGGATATTACGTGCGGTTCGCAGACGGCACGGAGAGTCGCATTCGCTCCAGGAGGGTTTCCGGCAAATGGTGCCCGACGTTCCGGGCGCCAAACAGAGGCGCCCTTGTGCTCGCCAATGAGAGCATGGACAGCATCGCGGCGAGGGTGCTCGACATGTTCGCGACGCCGGGCATCCAGCTCGGGTTCCCCGAGAAGGGGCTCTTGGCCTTGCGCGGCTTCCACGCCGTCTTCAACGCCAGGTGCGCCCGGGCGCGCAATGCAGACAGGGCCCCCCTGTCTGCGCGTCTCGGCGTCGCCCCGCGGCACCTGGCGATGCTTTCTGCCGGCCTTGCCATCCTCGAAGTCGGGCGCGGCGCGCGCAAGCCCCCAAAGCTCGCTCTGGCGCCCGCGGCGCCCGGTGCCGACGGGCCCGACGGTGTCGCTGGAGAAGCCCCGGCAGGCGAGGAAGTCCCCGCGGCGCAGGGCGTGCCCGAGGAAG